GCATCCTCCCAGGCATGACGTCCACTGCCGATGGTAAACCTGTCAAGGTGCTTTCTGTTGCAGGTGACATTGCCGCCATCAGGTGTGAGACCCCTTGTACACCTGTGACCACGATCTGCCAGACACAATGGGAGTTCTGCCCGTCACGCATGCATGCCTTGTTCTTTGAATTTTGGGCACCATTCTGGATGCGTGATCAAGACCAAGAGACCGCCTCGCTTGAGCCTTGGGATGACTTCCTCCACGTTGCCCAGCAAGTTGGAATAGTGCCCAAGCATGCAGTGCACAAACCGCAAACTCTCGATGAGTGGAAATTTGCCATTGCCAATACTAAGACCGCCACTGCCCGTGGGGCCTGCGCCCTCACGCAACCCGAGGTCGCTGCACTTAGTGATGAGCTTTTGGGGTTTGTTGTCAGCGCAGTTGCCCTGTGTGGCGCGCACGGCCTCCCGGCCTGGCTCATGCTATCACGCACGGTCCTTGTGCCAAAGACGGACGAGGCTTGTTCAATTGCCGAAATGCGCCCTATTACAGTGTGCAGCCTCATCTTCAGACTGTGGAGCAAAGTCCTCACCCGTAGGCTCCTCTTGGACATGACCTACAGCATACCTCACACAGTCTCTGGTGGACTCCCAGGGCGGTCATCGACCATGCTATGCCTTCAAAATGCCACCGCTGTTGAAAAGTCCATCCGCATTGGATCTGAAGCCGGTGGCTACATTCTCGACATTTGTAAGTGTTTCAATGCGTTGCCACGCCAACCTATGGCATACCTCCTCACCTGTGTCGGAATGTCGGCAATTGATGCCCAGTGCTGGAACCGATGCCTCATGTCGTTGACTCGCACCGTGAAACTCGGTAACTCTGACTCCTTGCCTTCAGCCACCACAACAGGGTTACCCGAAGGTGACCCCTTGGCAGTACCTGCTGCAGCAACGCTCGGCTGGATGTGGGTCAAGGTGATTGAGCAACTCGGAGCTTGTGCCAACACTTTTGCAGATAACTGGCAGTGGATGGGCACAGGTGCTGAACAGCATTTGCAGTGTTTGCGGACTACTGACAGGTTGCTCCAGTCCTTGAAGCTCACTAGTGACCCTTCCAAGTGTTGGGCATGGGGCTCAACCCCCGCAGCCCGCCGACTGTGGTCTCGCATTTCCTTGCTTTATGTTGGCAACCCACGTGCCATACGCGTTGCCAGTGAAGAGCGCGACCTCGGTGTCCAGATGCACTACACTAGGCAAACAACGCTTGGCGTTACCCTGAAACGCATTCAGAAGGCTGAGGCTAGGCTAGCCAGGCTTAGGTACGTGCCCCTTGACTTCAAAGGAAAAGCCCGCCTTGTAGTCACCAATATATTGCCAACGGCTTTCTTTGGAGCCGAGCTTGTGTACATTGGAGAGTCCCATTTCAAGCAACTCCGGACTGCCATTGCCGATGCACTCATTACTAGGACGCCATACACCAGCCCGTGGCTGATGACCAGCGCAACCGCCAGAACTAGCATGGACCCCTTGCGATTCGTCATCACCAACACGCTTCTGTTGTGGCGTAGGTTCATGTGGGGCGAAGGTATCGATCGGTCTGCCATACTCCGCCAGCTTCATGAGGCCAGTGCCAACCCTTTCTGTGCGAGCGGCCCATGTGCAGTATTCAAAACATACCTGGCTCAAATACAATGGGTAATCCATTGCCATGACGGTGACCTTTTGATTGAGGACACCAAAAGCTGCACCTTTTCCCTCCTCAATGTCTCTGAATCCTTCGTTCGTCAGCGGCTTGATGAGGCGTGGGATGATATTGTTGCTGAGAAAATCCGCAAGCGTAAGGAATTTGTCCATTGGCCCACCCCTTGCCTTGTTTTGAACTCTGAAGGGTTGGACGAGCTTTGCCAACGTGACCGCGCCATCATGACACACCGCCTCACCGCTGGTGTCATTCTGCAGCATCACCGCCGGAAATGGGCTAATGGAAGTCCCGACCCCTGCCCAATGTGTGGGGAGCCCGAAGACCGCGTCCACCTAACTCACAACTGTACCGGCACCAGTGACATCCGGGACGCAAATGCCGACCTCATACACCAAGTCTGTTCGTGGGCTCCATGGATGGTTGGCCTGCCTCTTGCATACAAGCACCCGGACCATGAAGCCCTGGTTCTTGCAAATTGCCAAGCCACCTTTCCCCCTCCATTCCCTGCCCAAATTGACTCCCATGGAGAGGTTAGGATCTTTTATACTGATGGCTCCAGCCTGAATCCGACTGCCCCTTTCGGGGCCATTGCCAGTTGGGCCATAGTTGAAGACCTTGCCAATCATGATAGTGATCGGATTAGCCACTGGCGCAGGTACACCGAGAACTGGGTCCTGCCTGACAGCTTTCACTGTGTGCAAACTTCAACCGTTACTGGACGGCAGACTGTGGCCAGAGCCGAGTTCTCTGCCCTCATTCAGGTTGTCCGATCCTGTGATGCCGCCATTATCTGCACAGACAGTAAGTACGCCATGGACCTGTTTAACCAGGTGGCCGGGTGCAGCCAAGCAAAAAAGTACATTAAGTGTGAAAATTTTGACCTGATCATCATGCTTTGTGACTTGTTCTCCTCAAAAAGGGCTGCCGACTTTGTCACTCTAAAGGTCAAGGCCCACCTTGAAGACGAACAGATCACAAGTCCGCTTCAGGGCTACGCAGTCTTGGGAAACCGCCATGCCGATTATGCTGCCAAGAAAGCAGCTTCGCCCGAAGCTAGTGCCTTTGCAGCTCGTGCATTTGAGGTGTGCGCTTTTTATAAGAAACAGACCAGGCTCAAAAAAGATTTCTTTGAACTTGCGGTTCAACTTGACAAAGTGCGCCTTGATGCCCTTGACAAGAAGCGCATTGCCGAAAAGCTTGAAAGCAAAAACCGTTGCACTGCCACAGCTCTGAAAGCATGGCAGCCTCAAGAGTGTGCGCCCCTACCACCGATTCAGCTGACTGATGATCAGCTAGCTTCTTTCCAGTCAGGCGCCTCACTTACAGTTGTTCTATGTGAATGGGCTGCAACATTGCAGTGGCCGAACATCAAGCACCCTGATGACCCAGGAATTGCCCTGGTCGAACTTGTGTACAACTTCTTGCTGGTCACACAGACCGCACTGCCCCGCATTGTAGCTAGATCTGCAAATCGGGTGACTTACGAGTATCCAACAGACCAAGGGCCCTTGGCCCTCCTTCCTGGTGCCTTGGAGGATGCATGCCGCCTATTTGACGCGCTTGATAAGCAGCTTAAGAAATTCTATGGGAAGGACCTCTTCCCACTGCACCTTCGAGGCAAGATGCCTTTCCTTCGATACTTTGGTTGCAGTCAAAAACGCGTCGGCTACTATACCAGACCACTCATGCTTCGAAGCCTTGAAACAATCAGCGGAATCGCGGAAGGCCTTCAAAAAGGCACAATCAACTCGTTGCACGTTCCCAACATGCCACCGCTCATTCAGAAGAGACATCATCCAAATGATGACCTGTCGCCGGATGAGGTATATGCCACCTTCCGTAGGCACCAACAGCGTGCTTACGCCAGGTGAGGGCAAGTCTTGCCCAGGGGCGTGAATTCCGTCCCTTTTTCGTTCTGGGGGCCCCCGTCAATCGACAAGGGCGTTTCAGCGGACATGGATTGAAGACCGCAGGCCAGTTCAACATGGGTTTCCTTTGGGTGGGGCGCATTGTTTTGAGCTTTCGCTTGGTTGGTGTCGGTCAATAATTGTCCATGCGCATGTCCTTTTTGAGTTTTTGGAGGAGTTTGTGAGATACCCTTGCCAAAATGGGCCAGCCGTTCTTGGACTCACAGTATCCATGGTTACCTGCGGTCCATTCCTAACATCCCCCGTCTGAGACTTTTGGCAAATCGGAAAGCCAGCCCAAGCCAAGGTGGGTACTTTGCACGGCTGAAGTAGGTTGACAGACCAAATCGCTGGCTTTCGTCCTTGGGCCCTTGAACCCCTGAAGTGCTGATATCATATTTCTCAGAACAAGGAAACACCCGCATTTGTCCTCTTGTCTTGTTTGTTGTGTGTAGCCTCTTCAGTTGGACGATGTATGGGAGTCTTTTTGGGGTACCCTCTGTGAGATTGCCTGACACAGAAACCGAAGGTCTAGGGCTGATTTCTTTTCAACCATTGTTCTTTTCAAACACCCGTTTTCCCCTTGTTTCCGGAGGTTTTCTGGAAAGAAGGATCCCTGGAAAGAATGGGGAAGGTGCCCTTAGAAAAAGGAAGCGTGCGACCAACTTTCAGTCTTTTCCCTCCTTTGTCCATTGCCAGACTGTTGGAAGGCTGTTCAGGTCAGACAGAAGACTGAGGTGAAGAGCGACTACGTCAAGCAACACGACCATGCAGGTTTTCAAAATCGAGTTTCTTAAACTACTGGGATGCCTGCAGGCATCCCAGATTTAATAACCCATCCTCCTACTTGACAAGGGGCCACACAGAAAAGTGATCCGAATTCCCACTGACAGGGGACAAACTGTAGATCGAGACCAGCCATATGAATCCAGGGTGAACAGAACCAAAAGTCAGGACACTGGGAATAGAACGGATTGTTGCGACATCCGTTCACACCATGGTTGACACCATAAAGTTTGTTGACACTTTACAGGGGAACCGGACCATTCCAGGGCTCCTTAGGGCTGGATGTCGTCCACCGTAGTTGACCCCTATCAGCTTGCCTCTAATCAGCTTACCCGGCTCAGTCACCCTAAGCCCTAATCCAACATCAATCCTTCAACCTTCCCCCGCTGTAAATCAATCTTGTGAAAGGAGTATGTGTGATTGCTTTCTGCTCAGCTTTCTCTTCTAGTCACCTTGAAACCAAGAAAACCAAGCCCAAAAAGGATACCCTCGACACACAAAGAAGAGCAAAACCACGTAGATTCACCTGCTTGATGTTGATCAAGAAGAGCACAACGTAGATTCGCTGATCGAGGGTGTCACCTGCTGGAATTGTTCGGATCGACAAATGTGTCTCGTGAGGCCAAGAGAGCGAGTTGCGGCTCAAGGAGCTCGCGGCGACCCTGCAGAGTTTGGAAGCAGCCATCAAGGCCATCCGAGAAGGAAGCAGCCTGCTGCAGGCCGATGGGCCGGTGGTCCGGTTGGGGGCTTCGCATCAAAAAGCCAACAGGGTCATAGGTTGGTCAAATAGATAGGGTTTCCCTGTTGGCTCCCATGCAAGCTCTTCAAAAACCCACGAAAACTGGCTGTCACAAGCCATTGCTGGTTTACAGGAGTCGAATCATTCCATGGTTTGTGAACCCTGGTGTGAAATGGATTTCGTCCATCCACATGCAGTAGGTGTCCTTTTGCTCAAATAGATGGGTTTCCCATGTCTAGAGGGCTGGGTTCCCAGCAAAAACACCCACAAAAGCTTGGGTCCTACTAGTGACGCAAAATCCTCATTTCGCACCACTCAGACGCAGGAACGCAGGAGACTATTTTGAGTCCACAGTAAATACCAGCAAACAATCGGTTTCAACCATGGCTTCAAAGTGGTGCAGGATGTTGTCCAACAGGCGGTGTCCTTTTGCTGAAATAGATGGGAATATCCTGGAAAATGAAACAGACCCCGTCTAAACCGGAGCTCATCTATGTCTGCCAAACTGACCGATCAAAAGGACGCCTATGAACAGGGTGCAAACATATTTTCCAATGGCCCTTGCTGAGATTCCGAACTCTTAAAGGAATCAGACCGGGACCCCAAAAATGTGTTTTGTTTTTTCTTTGGTCATTTAAACCAACCATTGACTGGGGGTCTGCCGGGGTATAACGGTATAACTATGTCTTCACGGTTTGTTTGCAATGCTTGTTTGATTTTAGTTTCGTTTCGGGTACTGCCCATTGTTAGGGCTGCAAAACAAGCAACTTGTGTTGCTCCTATACCATTTTTTGGGAAAGCTCATTCCTGAGATTCTGTATCTCTCATGAAGGTACTCTTGTTGGGGTTGCTTTAAAGGGAACCCAAAAGGAACACCTCCCAATTCGGGGGGGTCCCCTATTTGGACACAGACCCATTTTGGGAACCCTTTGTTGGTTTGGGGAGCCAAATGAAAAACACCCGTTTCCCCATCGAATGCTGCGCAAATCATAGAGTCCAGTCCCGGGACCCTCCAAAAGCTGTGGCTCAGCGACCCTAGGGCTGGGAAAGGGACGAAAAAGGCGGAGATGGGGAGTTTTTGCGTTTTCATTGTCCTGATGGTGGTTGAAGTGCAACATGGTCTTCCAGCTTTAGCTTCTTTGATTTTTTGGGGGGTTACTTAGCTTTGTTTGATTTCGATTTTTTCCAGCTGGGCTTTCCCGATTTCTGAATCCAGAGAGTCTGAATTGTCCAAACATGGTCAACCATTGAGAAATCTAGGTATGTGACGTTCAACCTAAAAGAGTGGTCAAAAGGCAAACTGGCGAGCAGCTCTTTTGCTTGCCCTGCGAGCGCATTCAACCTCTGGGGAAATAGGTTGGGTGCAAGGGAACGGCTTCATGGCAGCTCGGGCCATAGGGGCTGATTCGGAGTCCATCCTTTTCAACCATCGTTCTTTCAAGAAGCCGGATCCGTTTTTTTTTTCGGGCTTTCCGGAGGTTTGCTGGAAATTCCAGGGATCCCTGGGTTCAGAATGGAAATGGATCCGGTACCAACTTCGAAGTTTACAGGTTCCATTCTTTGCTTTTGAGGCGAGCTCGAAAAGATCCGTTCCAAAGCCTCAAGCAAGAATCGGATCCTTAGAACTTCCCCAGAACTAGCTCCCCCTTTTCCTTTGCTTTTTTGGGGTCCCCTTTGTTTTCCACTCACCAGGCAAAAATATATTTTTGCTGGGGTCAACTAATTCCCTATAGCGTTGGCTTGGCTGGGCTGGTTCTGGTGGCCCGAGAGGCGTGGCCGAGTTTTCTACGTCAGCTGCGGGTGTTTTGGCCAGGTGCCCATGATGGACCTGCAGGAGGCGCACCAAATGGGTTTTTACTGCTCCCTCAGCGGAGTTTCTCAAGCGAATGCGGGGACCTCTTTCATTGGCCGGGTAATTCCATGGGAGCCCAAAGGAAACCAAGAGGTTTTGGGGACGTTGTCCCTTTCAAGTCGATTGCACTTATTTGCACGCCCGAGGCTCCCGATTGATTTAGGGCTTTCAAACAACCTGCTTTCTGAGACCCCCAACCACCTCCGGGGTGTGTAATGGAGGTGTCGGGTCTTGCATTGAAAGCGCCAGGAGCCTCTGGGCGGGAAAAGGAGACCAACTGTTTCTCGGGACGTTGTCCTTGGTTCAACCCCCAGAATGTGTTCCGTTTTTCCACCAGGTCACTGAACAACTGTAAAAGGCGCCCCTCAGTGTCACAACAAGTTGGAAACGGCTAAACTGGGATCTTAAATGGCTTGGCATTTCAAGGTTCACTATGGACCTGGATCGAACATTTAGTTTTGCTTGGGAAAAACATAGTACCATAACCCCCCTCGCCCAAATGAACCCCTCTACAGCTTTGGGCCAGAGACCCAAGTGCGTACGTACTGCTTGTGAGAAGGGCCTGACACCTATACATAAAAGACAGATGCCTGTCCAATATTTGGCAGAGTTTCACAGCGACGAGCAAAAGAGCAGGGGATGCTCGTGTGGTTTCACACAAAGTCAACGAGCAAATTCCCAAATTGATTTAGAGCCAGGACAAGCGGAGCTATGGGAAGGGTAATAGGCACTATATAGTAGTCTCTGATAGTCACGACTGTGGAAGGACAAAAACCATTTCGTGCCACCTAGGCCACCTAGGAAACCCTGGAATGATTATCCACCGGTGAATACAAACAAACGTTACGGTTTCAACCATGGTTTCATTTTGTGGTTTGAAATGCATTTTCGTTCATACAAAGTATTAGACTGCAATGGCGCTCCTTGCTATGACCCAAGTTCAGTACATGAAGCAGGGCAGGGGCTGCCCGTGTATGATTGGCGGTTTGAACATCGAGTTGTAAGGCCATTCACAGGGACCATCAATTGCATATGTTTTTCAAGTGTTTTTGCTTCGCGGTTTAACCCATCAGTTTTGCGCAAGATACATTAAACCTGGAGTGAAATATCATCACATGTTTACAGTGTCCTGTTTTCCGATTGCTTGATGTTTTTACAGTCGCTTTGTTACTGGTACTTGATGTTCCGTTTGCTTGATTTTTGCTTAAATGTCACTTTGTCCCATGTCCTTGAGCTTCTGCTTGTTCGCTTCAAACATCTCCCTTTGAGTGACGAGATGTTTTTGTGGGTGCGGGTGCTAATAGGGAAGGGCGCAAGAGCTTTCTACCTACGAGTCCCTTCACGAGTACATCCGTTGCCGCCTGGACCTCGCTGATGCGCGCCGCTATGATGCGCAACAGAATTTGGCCGTCAGCGACAACCTGTTTTTCCCCACCCGACAGGAAGGGGTTGTTAGATTTTATGTTGGAATCCGCGCTTGCGATGCTTCTACACCACGCCCCCATCTAGTATCCCGCCAGAGCAGCTCGCCAGTGGATCCCGCCGAGTATCCCGCCAGAGCAGCTCGCCAGTGGATCCCGCCGAGTATCCCGCCAGAGCTGCTCGCCAGTGGATCCCGCCGAGTATGCTGCCAGAGCTGCTCGCCAGTGGATCCCGCACAGTATCCCGCCACAGTATCCCGCCAGAGCTCGCTCCCGCCGAGTGGATCCCGCCGAGTATCCCGCCAGAGCGGCTCGCCAGTGGATCCCGTCGAGTATCCCGCCAGAGCGGCTCGCCAGTGGATCCCGCCGAGTATGCCGCCAGAGCTGCTCGCCAGTGGATCCCGCACAGTATCCCGCCAGAGCTGCTCGCCAGTGGATCGTGCCGAGTATCCCGCCAGAGCGGCTCGCCAGTGGATCCCGTCGAGTATCCCGCCAGAGCGGCTCGCCAGTGGATCCCGCCGAGTATCCCGCCAGAGCAGCTGGCCAGTGTCCCGCCCAGTATCCCGCCAGAGCTCGCCAGTGGATCCCGCCAAGTATCACGCTGAGTATCCCTTGCCGGTGGATCTTGCCGAGTATCCGGCCAGTATCGAGCCGGAGCAGCTCGCCAGTATTCCAGTATCCCGCCAGAGCAGCTCGCCAGTCTGGTTTTGCTTAATGTCCCGCCCGGCGCACAGTAAGGTTTACATTCTTCCTGTTTTGAGTGTACCCTGAAGGGTGATGCTTTTGTGTTGCTTTGGGTTGTGAATAGGCAACTTCGTTTAATCCCCCGTCGGGTTTCTTGTTGGAAGGGGCTTGGCTTTTGTTAACGGAGCGATGTTTGAGTTCTCGAGATCGGCTCGCAAACAAGTGGAGCTTGACACACACACAGACACGTGGATAAGGCTCTCAACATTCACGCAACCGTGTTCACGGTCGTAAGCTTGTGAGTGTGGAGGGTGGGGATTGCTCGAAGCGAAGTAGTTTTATGTTGTGATGCGGTGCTGGCTTTTGAAGCGAGACAAGTCTTGGCTTGCGATGTGCTGCTCATGTGCCGAGTCGAGCATACTTGTGTCTCAAGACCTCAACACCGAGCTTTGCGGATCGTCCAATCTCATTTGCAGCTATTGTTGGACCCATGGTTTGTTGTTGCGGCGCCTTGTTACACAGTTGTGGTGCCCTGGTTTCCTTCCTTCCACGAGAGTAAAGATCCAGGGGATATTCCTCTTCCATTTCCCGGTGGAGAAGGTAACCAAGGGAACCACCTGGGTGTGGCTCCAAATTCAAGAGGTAGGGTTACACAGGTTTTATCGTTGGTTCCATTTGCCAAGGTGCCATTGTGGTACATATTTTTTGACTAGGTCCCCCAGTAGTGCCCTTTTGCCCTTTTTCCTGGAGGGTTCCCCTACTAAAATAGACTACAGGAAAGAGTTGGTACCTCTACTGGAGGACCTAGTCGAGCCGTAGCCACCTCGAAAACCAAAGAAAAGAAGTTGTCCGGTTGCCACCGATCAGGTTCTGGAGCAGCGCCTGGACAGCGACAGGAAGAGCGCGGTCTTGAGCCGCTAGACTGGAACGATGGAACCGACGTCCCGAGTCGTTTCTGGGTGTCCTTTGCGATGTTGGGTTGAAGGGAACATATGGCCATGGGTCCAGAAAACATCCCTATACCCACGAAAATAGACTAAAATGGGTGGTGCACCTACCCCAAAATGGTACCATTGGTTTTGACCCACAGCCGTCTGGGCATGAATTTCAATTTGGGACCCTCTGGTGCACATCATTTAGGCGGGGGTTTTACTTCCAACCACTTTCCAGGCGGTTCCTTATTTAAATTCATGGCCAAAGTTGTATGAAAGCCAAGCCCAACGGATTTCGGCAAAGACGTCGTGCAACATGAAAAGAAGCAACTAGGTTGCCTGCTGCTTGCCGATCGGATCCGAAAGGGAGCCCGCATTGGCTGTAGAAAAAGAGCAAGTTGTTTGAACAAACTCATCACGATTTTCATGAGAGAGTATATTGCACCCTTCCCTCACAGGAATTGCACCACAGTCTTGGAGACAACTTCTCAACTCGCCGCACATTGGCCTCGCTTGGAAATCGGAGCGAAAATGGGTCCCGAAAACATATTTTGGTTTTGCTGACTGACTCACTGACCCACTGACCCACTGACTCACACTCACTCACGCACTGACCCACTGACTCACTGACTCACTGACTCGCTGACTCACTGACTTACTGACTCACTCACTCACTGACTGACTCACTAACTCACTGACTCACTGATTGACTGACCTGACCCTGCCCCTGACCCTGACCCTGACCTGACCGACTGGACCTGACCTGACCTGACCGAGCTTACTGACTAGCTTGCTTGCTAGCTAGTTAGCTAGCTGACTAACTAGCTAGCTACCTAACACTTAACTAACTAACTAACTAACTAGCTAGCCAGCTAGCTAGCCAACTAATTAACTAACTAGCTACCTAACACAGCATCCATATGGTTGTTGTCTTTCTGCTGGATCCAAAATGTCAAGAAACGCGTAGCTGCCCCACCCTCCACCCCACCCCCTTCCAACGAAATCGAAATCCACGGCTCGAGGCTTCCTGAGTGCTGGCTTCGGTTTGGACGGAGAGGGTCGATCCTCGCCGGCGAGCAGCAGCGAGGTTTTGGGTACTCTGGAGGCCAGTGGGAAAAAAGTCGATGTCCCATTTGTAGGGTTAATGCTGGGGTCCTTATGGGCTTGTTTTAGGGTCTTAATGCTGGGTCAATGGGTTTTAGGGTCTTTGGTTTTCCCCAAGAAGGACGTCCTTATGGGTTAGTGGGTCAATGGGAACTCCATTGAAAAAGTCGATGTGCGTGAACGGTTGGGTCCCTACTGTGGATGGTTGCGAAATCCATTTCGCAGCACCGTTCAGAAACCCCGGTTTGCGATGATTCCCCTGGAGCCACCAATGAACAATGGTGTCCTATGGTTTGAAAGTGGTGCGAACGGATTTCGTCCATCAGGTCAACGGTTGGGTCCCTATGGCCTTGTTTCTTGGAGTTGGTGCCATTAGTAGCTTGGTTTCAAGGGAAGCCAAGGGAAACCCCCACCTTTTTTGGTCAGTTGGTACCCCCTGGTTGCCACCAATGGCTGCCATCTACCTCTTTTAGTCTGCCCAGTCGCTATGTTGATTTCACTCCCAGCATGTTTGTCTACGTTTGTTGCTCAGGCGTTTGGGCCTCCTTTTGCTTCCACGTCTTGGGTGATTTGTGTGTTGCCCCAATGCGACTTGACACAAACTCGTCATGACGGGCAAAGTTAAAGGGAGGTGATGTGTCCCCAAATCGTTTCCCCGGACAAACTGGGTGCTTCCTGTTGGGTTTATTTGTTGTGCGAAAAGGAGGTTCCGGACTTTTGGGACAGACCCGCATGGCAAGCCACCGTTGTGTACCCGCCTATGGATGCCACCCTTTTGGTTTCTACCCATTGGACCATGCAGGCGGTGCTGTCCACAGTGCAGACAGACTATGAGCAGGCAAAGGCCGCAGACGCTTGGATTGACAACTAGCTGCGGGGGTGACCTGACCATGTTTCTAAAAAAAAGGGCCTTTGGTGGGTTCCGAAGTTGAGAGGGTATGACATCTCAGGTTTTAACATCAATCATTTTTCATGCCACACCAACGGAAGTGACCTGAAATGGATGCCCCTAGTCTCTAAGCTTGTGTCTCAGCATGGCGAATGATGCGAGAGACCGGAAGGGCCGTTGGGGCCAACTGCAAACGATCCGCGATGCCCTACTGAGCCAAGGCCTTTGGCTCTAAGACTTCAATTGTTTCTTGCACCCTCGTGGCTTCTTGGATTGCGGCAAGCTCAACATGCCCCCCCACCCAAAAACATGAAAGCAAACAGAAAGCAATGTGCCGAATGTTTCTCCTGGCCGACAACATGTTTTTTGGCGAGTTGAGTGGGTCTCTTTGGCTCCCCTGCTGCTGTTTTGAATTGACTTATGCGTTGTCAAGCCACGAATTCAATTCACGAATCAATGTTGACCCCGGATGAATAAAGCCATCCTGTGGAATGCCCCCCCACTAAAAGCAGAGAACCCCCCGAACAATCTTGGGCTGATCCATCCTGGTTAAAACCACCAATCAAACCACGAACCCAAACCACTCACCTAACCACGAATCCGAACCAGCAATTAATGTTGACCTCGGACTCATACACCCGTCCTAGTAGCCGATGAACCCCCCCCGCCAAACCCAGGGTGATTCATCCTCGGTTCCCAGTTGAGCAGCTCCCAAAGGACCCCCAAAGCCAAAGTGCAGGCCAAAGCAACCGCGAAGGCCCCGCAAAAGCCCGCATGTTGATGAGTGGCGAGCGGGAGTTGGTGTTCATAGCGACGTTTGGGGTGCACTGACGTTTGTGGAACTCACTTTGCAGAAAGGCCAATGGCCATCGTCAAAAGGAACCTGCAGCATCTGAGCTCACGCAGTCCAAAGGGTGTGTTTCAATCAGTCCGCCGCGACAGCGCTGCGAAAGCAATTCTACAGAAAAAGCGCAGCCCGCCAAAGCAAAGCATGGGGATGCGAAAGCATTGGAAAGGGAGGGTTCGCGAGAGCAAGGTCATAGTACCGCTTTTGACACAAGAGTATTCGGCACGGCTCAGGTGGACCCTATTCTGGGTTGATTGATTGGTTCCTATTGAATCCCTGGTGTAGAGGGTTTCTGGAATAATGGAAGCCACTCAACTTGCCTGCTCAGTAGGGAACGAGGGAATGAGCCTGGGGGTCCCCTTAAAGGGAACCACCAGTAAGGGATGGTTTCTTGTGATCATTCCAGTTCTCATTCCCCAACTGTGGGTGGACGAAATCCTGCACCACCTAAGAAACCCTGGAATGATGATTATCCTGTAAATACCCACAAACAATGGTTTCCATGGCTTCTTAGGTGGTGCGAAATGGATTTTGTCCATCCACAGTATCGCACCGATCACAAGTCACCTCCAAATCAAAACCAATGAACAAGCTGACGAACTGCCTCAGCTTGATCCCCTTCAAAAGCGATGAAACCCCACAACACCATACAAACCCTCCTTGTGGGGTTGAATTATCCGGGGTTGTAATTTGCTTGGTGGCTGCCAGCCATCAGGCCTGCTTTCAGTTGGTTGAGTGGTAGTTTCCGATCTGAACCCACTCAAAGTTGGTCACTAGATCACAAGGGATGTATAAAACATGTAGCCCAGTTGCGGGGAAGCTGCATCACTGCAACTCAGAAAACCACAGTCTGATCCCCTTCAAAAGTGATGAAACCCTCTGCAAAACTCCCTGGGCTTGATTCATGACAAACTGCAGCAACTGCTTCCCTCTCACCTTGAATATTGATCCACTTGAGTTATCACTTAAGTGATGAACCCCCCCTCCAGAAAACCATAGAAACCCTTCTATATGGGCTTGTTTCATCCGGGGTAGCTAGGAAGCTCTCTATCTGCAGCTTCCACCTTTAATATTCCACTTAAGTGATGAATTCACCCACAAAACCCAAAAAAAACCTTGGGTTGATTCATCCGGAGTTGAAGCTAGGAAGCTCTCACCACCTGCACCTCAGCCTAGGACCGCAGCGCCGCCCGGGACTTCGGGGGCCTCCTGCGCTCCCGGCTCAGCGAGGGCCGGTCCCTGCAGCAGTCGCTGCTGAAGAAGTCGCAGCGCCTCGGGGGTCTGAAGCTGCGCCTGGTGGAGCTGCGCAAGGAGCCGAGAGAAAAAAATTAGAGAAAAGAAAAAACGGGGGGGGGGGGGGAAAAGAAGAAGAAACAAGAACGAACAACATCCGCGAGACATGAGTTGTTACATGAGAGGAACAAAAATTACAGGGCCCCCCCCCTCCAGTTCCATTCTTACACCTAGTCCCCCACGAAATTCCCGACGCGAAGAAAATAAACATCAAGAAGCTCAGGTGATATCCCCAGCATGCGGTGCTCTTAGTGCTCGCTTCACCCGGTAGCCCTCGCATCGTGGAACCCTGGTGGAAACCCCAAAGCTTCCAGCTGTTGGGGAAAAAAGAACGAACAACATCCCCGAGACAGTAGTTGTTACATATAAATATAATACATATAAATATACATATCGAATTGTTGTGTAGTGGTGGATTGGAGATTCGAACGCCTGGTTCTTGTAAAGGGCAAGTGCGAAACCACCTCCGAAAAACAAACACCAAACCAAACCGCCGATTGGAGCGAAGATAAGCAGCCTCACTCCATGCTTTTGTGGACTTTAAGCTTCTTGGCAAGACCATGGGCAAAAAACAATCCACTCAGGAAGTGAGTAGCAATTAACCCTAGCTTCAGCTAGGTCCCCCAGCTAGGTGCCCCTTCTTTTACCGTTTCTTTTTTGGTTTGGAGGGTTCCCCGTGTCAAAAATAGACTACAGAAAAAAGTTGGTTCCCCTATTCTAACCTCTCTAGTGGAGGACCTAGTAAAGAAATATATTGTGATTAGCCATGGTTAATATCATCATCAGGGACGTCGCGTTAGTGACCGACCTGTGGTGTTTTGGCTCAAGATTTTGGGTTCCGTCGCGCCTCGAATGGGCGTCGCCGAACCCCTGCGTCGACCGACGGCATCTCGGGGGAGAAAGAGACCTCGGGCCGCCGCCAGGTTGGTAGGGACCAGTCGTGCGGCCTGTTGTCGACCAAGGTTGCGGGTTAACCCTTTTCTTGTTTGGTTTGTTTTCCTTTGGTTGTTGTTCTCTGGTGTGTGGGAAACCCTGATCTTTGGGACCGGGGATTGGTTTGCTTTTGGGGAACCTTTCTTTTGTGGCTTGTTTACCCCAACTTACCCATTGCCTGGGCACAGGCTCGTGCCCGAATCACAGGTTATCAGCCGTAGGACTTTCCTACGCGCTTGAGACCATCAACTACAAGCTCTATGTCGACCCCACGATCTCGAAGGAGCGTCGTGGATGAGGAGGCCATCCTAGGTGGCCTCCGCTCAGGTGAGGACCTACCGGACTATGACTACGAGGATTTCGAAGCAGGTTCGACAGGTCAGGACCGCAGGGGTGAAGATCCCGGTAGGGATACACCCAGGGGCCGTGGCAGGTACGCCGACGATGGAGACGATCGTATTTTCCGCCAGGCCACTGATGACGAGCAGACACGAAGGGTTTACTCCGGTAGGAGTGGCTCTGAATCAGGTCATAGGCGTGGACGTTTTGACTTCATCAGCATGGCGATGGACATGGCCCGCCCTCATTCGGATGACCCGGAGGCCATGCCGATTCGACCTCCGAGATCTCTTGTTCCAGGTGAGTCGCAGGTCTCGGATGAGTTTGAGAATAGGCCGCAGGGACCAGGGACAATGGTTCTGGCTCCGGGAGGTATCCCGGGCCGATCCATTGGTTCTCAAAACCCAGGTCAGTTTGATGAGCACGAGGAGCGGAAATTCACGGACTTCGGATACGATGATCTGTTGAAATCAACCGCAGGTTGGGGCAGTAGCTCAAAGCAGGGATCTGATGCCGGTAGGCCCAACCCTAATACTGCCAAATCTGAGTCTTATGATGGCGAAGGTTACAATTTTGCGGATGAGGAGGAGAGCCATTCGCGCCGAAATGCAGGCAGCCGTGCGACTGCAAGGACTAGTCCCGCCGCTGCCAAGTTTGAGGTCGATGATGATGACGAGTATGCCGCATTTGCGGATCGCCGTGATGAGGAGGAGGACCAACCACGACGAAATGCTAGGATCCGTGATGCTGCGAGGCCCAGGAGCCTCTCTCGTGGAGCCGCCAGGGACCTTCGCGTTGACAGGGATGCCCGAAGCGAGAGAGAGAGAGCCAGGGACAGTCGGGAAGTTCTTCGGGGATTGGAGGCCATCCATGACCGTGAGGGACCGGTAGGTCCCCCGGCGATTGGTGATACCCCGAATGTTCCCCCTTTTCCCAACATTACGTTTGGAGGTCCGTTAAATCAGAGACCTGGACCTTCAAACGTACCTGAAATTTCTGCCTCCCCTGTCAATCGGCTGGTTTTTGCAATTCGTACCTTGTTTTCTTGGCTTGTCCTCTTTTTTGGACCTCGAGCAGTTTTGGAGGCATGCGGGCTGTCATGTCTTAACATGACTACTCGAGCAGAAATGGTGTGCAAAAACGCTCGCAACGGCCCGCAAAACGAGCGCAAAAACCCGCAAACGAGCGCAAATTTGAAAAAGTGCTCGTTTGAAATATAACCTCGGGCACTTTTTCATTGCTCGGGCAGAAATTGAAGACTCGGGCACAAACTGTGTGTTCGAGCAGAAAAAAAAAAGCGAGCACAAAAAAAGGTATCAATGGAAGGTCCAGGGAGACGTGAACTCGAACCGGGTTACTGGTTCGCCGAGAGTCACTGAGCGGGTTGCCGATGTCGTTGGGAGAGGTGCAAGAGATGGCCGGCTTGCCGATGCACTCGGAATCGAGGATCGTCCGTCGATCGCTAGCCCGTTAGGGCGAGATACCAGTGACCTTGAAACGCTAAGGTCCAGCAACGAGTTCACACCTCAATGGGGCTCGACCGCCAGGGAACGTAGTGCTTCTGCGAAGAGACCGTCACCCCTGGCCATTGAGACCGATAGGTCGAAGGCGAGGAGGGCTAGCCCCTCACCAATGGACTCAACTCCGCAGGATGAGGAGATGCCTGATCCTGCTGATGTTCACATCCACTCTACTCCCGAGTCTCGTGCGTCCCATGTTGATCCCCGTTCCGGCGATAGCCGTAGAAGGGGTTCTACCCCTAGCAGGCCATCTGGGGCTGGTGATAGTCCTGTGGATGACCCCAGAAGATATGCTAGAGCTAGTGGGGCTCCTGAGAGGATCGAGATATCGACTCCTCCAGCACTCAGGTCTCATTCTTCCGGTGAATCAGGTGACGCTAGGGCAAAGGAGGTGTTCGATTTGCACATCCAGGAGATGCTCGAGAGAGGTGAGGTTTCTGGCTCAGTCGCGAAAGCGTTCCATATTTTTGCTGACCAGATCAGGTTACTGAACGGTCAAGTGAGTTCCATGAGAAGGGAATGGAGCGACGAGAATCAACAGACGAAGTACAAGGTCGATCGACTGGCAGCTGAGGTTGCGACTCAATCTGATGCCGGGAGGATGCGAATGATAGTTCAACGGTTCGCAAGGGAAGTTATTCCCGATAGCAGGGCCATTGTGAGGCAAGCCATCGATGAGCAAGCCGAGGTCGTGGAGCAGAGGATTAACCTACTGTCCCACGAGGTCCATGAATCTGTCAAGGACAATGAGGCATCGACTGATCGGCTTCGCCTGATGATTCAGGAGAATAGTGAGGCTGCCCGCAGAAGCCATGCTGCTTCTGAGGACGAGATCCTTAAGGATTTGGACAAGCTTGAGAAACGGATGTTCTCGGTAGAGAAAACCGTTGGGATGCGGACACCAGCAGGTGTATGGAACCCGAATCCTGTCGCGCATCCGTCCGATAGGGCCAGCGGCAGTGTAGTGGATGCAAATTTCAGGGAGTTAAACCTGAAGATCGAGAAAGCTCTCCTTGACACGAGACGTTTGCCAAGTGGGCCTCTGAATCTATTGAAGGGATCAAAGAAGAGCACACTCGTCTTGTTAATCGAGTGTCGAGACTGCAGAGTGGAAGGGGTTCTCAGGAGGTCGATAGACCATCAGAACATGATTCCCCGCAGGACTGGCATGAGGCTATTGACGAGATCAATCGGAAGATGCAGGATCTGGCTCGAGGAATTCAACGTCAACGTCGGGATCATGACGACATCATTTCGAGGTTTGAGACCGTGAAGTCACATGTTGAACAGTATGAAGCGAGATCGGCAATTGTGAATCGGGTCGTTGATGGCATCCAAGGACAGATCCGTAATCTTCCTGCAAGCAGTGACCAAGTGCAGCCTGCCGTTAGGCGAGAACTCGGCACATTCCGGAGTACACTTGAAGGTGTTATGCGGAGAGTCAGCGCTATCGATGGCAACGTGCGTAACCTTAGCGCCGCGAACAACAGAATCATGTCCCAGCTCTTTGAGATGGAGGGTCAATTTGACGAGGCTGCTGGCATTATTCAGGGTGTCCAGCAGATTAATGAAGCTCCTCCACAACCCAGAGAAAGACGGAATGTTGGTTACCATGCATTTGCGGGGCAAGGACATAGGATCAGGTCACCGACGCCTACACCAGGGGAAGGTGACGGCCGGGGTACTGGCCTGCCGGTGAGACCAGGCGGAGGCGTTGTTTTGCCTGATCATGTTTTGCCGAATGTGCCCGATAGGGTCGATCCTTCTCGCGCAGACAGGCATCCAATCTATCCCGTTAGGGAGAGGTCCGACAGCAGGAGCAGGAGGGTTCGGGGGTTGCCTGACAGGTCGCATTCGCCACCGGAGCGTGCAAGGGGTGGTCCCCGCGCGCGCGCAAGGGGGGACGTTTCTATTTCCCCCAATAGGGATGCGGGTAGGAATAGGAGCCCGAGGCCTGCTGCCGTCCCCGATAGGGGATCTGAGGTCCGGAGTCGACAATCGAGGGGGGAGAGGCCGATCCGCGATAGCGGGAGCGTCTCTCCGAGTTTTGATAGGCCAATCCGCGATAGCGGGAACGTCTCTCCGAACCCAGGTCGTCATTCAGGAGGTGGTGGGGGTAATAGGGTTCATGCCGACATCCAGAGTCCTGGTGATGAGTGGAGGACTCCTGGGAGTAGAGCCAGCGCCGACACCCAGAGTCCCGGCGATAGGCGAGGGACCGCTGGA